TTTTTAGCTGGTGATCTTTTAAAAACCATCACAATTTTTCTAACTATATTCATCACTGGACCGATCGCTTTGCTTGTAATTAATATGTCTTCAATTATTTGATTACCCACTATAAAGCAACTCTCATCACCACCTTCATAGCTATCTGATTCACAGCTTTCACTAATTTTAAATTCATTTTCCAAGTTTTCAGTGTGATTATCAATTTCCTTGACTAAATGTCTCTGTCGTGTAAATTGATATTTAAATAACGGGTATTTCAAATCGACGTCCACTTATCAAAAGAAATTGAAAACTTAGTTCCACTGTTAATTTCTTGTCTTAATTCATTTCTTACACCATTCTTTATATTGTTAGAAAAATCAAGTACAATTTTTTTAACAGTGTTTGGAGATTTAGGTATGTTGACAAATCGCCTCATAGCCAGTTCAGCACGTATATCGATAGAAATGCATACTAAGTTAAAAATAATCTCATCTTTAGCTGTAAATCTTGCAAGCAATTTAGACAAGCTTTCCACTTTATTCATATTCGATGAAAAATATGAACTAATTTTACTTTTTTTACTTGTGATTCTTCTTCCGATGTCGGAAAACTGCTTTAAAGTTTATTTTATGTAATTGAAGAAGATGAGAATGCAGAGCTTTTGTTGATCCCCCCATAATTTTCAATACTATTTTGCAATGGCTTAGTTTACACATTGCTGTTTCACTTTCTTTGTTGTGCAGAAAATGTTTCCATATAGAGGTATTGCTGTTAAACTCTATGAAATTTGACATAGTATCCTAATTTGACGAATCAAAGAAAATATAACAATATAATTTTAACTTTCTTATTAAGGTGAGTTTTTAAAGTTCAATATACACTCTATTATTACATATTCACTCTATTATTACAAAAACACAATATAAATCAATACAAATAAATTTTTACTTTTTTCTTATTATTGTTATCATTATTTTAATTATTATATTATATTATTATAATTTAGTTTTAATAATTAAAAATTAGTTTCTTACTATTTCCTCAGAAACGCACCAGTAGTGATAACAATATATAAGATCGATTAAACTTACTTCAAATTACAAACCAATAATGAAAACATTGCATTGCATTAATGCTAAATATTATAGCTTTGTTGTTACTTTCGTTTTATATGACGAAGTTTAAACGCAAGTACTTGCGTTTAAACTTCGTTAAAACTACGATTAATACTTAAGTATTAATCGTAGTTTTATAAATTCTAAATAGACCTTTTCATAAATATCTGCGACGGAGAAAGGAGATTCTTCAAAGCGAGGCAGTGTTTGTAACAATCAAAACAAACTTTGAGTTTATATATAATTTTGTAGGGTTTAGAGGTGTTATGTGTCGGTGTTTTCTCTATTTAGTTTCTACAATTTATATAACATTGTTCAAATCACTTTAACATTGTTTTTATAGTAGCAACATAAATAATAAACTATGGAAATACACTCATTCCAAAAGTCGTCCTACGGGTTGTCACATCGCATAACTGCCTATTTAGAAAATCACATAACTGCCTATTAAGAAAAGGAAATAATTAAGTCTTCAATACTAATACTTTACTCTTTTAAGGCTACAATACTAATACTTACTATATATATATATATATATATATATATATGTATATATATATATATATATATATATATATATATATATATATATATATATATATATATATATATATATATATATATATATATATATATATATATATATATATATACACACACACAGTAATCATTAGTATTGTAGCCTTAAAAGAGTAAAGTATTAGTATTGTAGACTTAGGTTAGCCCTCTATTTTTAGATTCTTTCCTTATCTAAATACGCAGTTATGTAATTTTTTTAAAATAGTTTTTAAAATTTAATTTTTAATTACTATATTTTCTATTTAATGATGCTATGTGAAAGTCAAGAAAGTACAAGCTAAACTGCACTTTTAGAAATGATTTTAAAAGTTTAACATCTGCCAGATGTTTATCTTTTGAATCATAAACTAAGTGATGCAATGATGAATAAAGATTTTATGAATCAAGCAACAAAACTTGAAGGTATTATTTTATTACTTATCTATCATTGGTCTCAATTACTCATCTTAAATAAAACTAATAAAAATGTTGCTTTGGCTATTCTGTTCATTAATTAGACATTTACACTTGTCTAACTTATTTAATGAAGTGTACCAACAAGAAGGTAAGCCGTAGGACTTTGCACTCCATTTGTAAATTGTCATGTTGTTGCCTAAGATTAGCTCTCCATTTCTGGATTCTTTTCTTTTTCTTAATTAGCAGTTATGTAATTTCTTTTAATAGATTTTTTGTTTTAATTTTTACTAAATAAAAAATCAACTTAAATATAAAATAAAATACATTAATATGGTCAAATGAATATTAGGTAAAAACCAATTCTAAGCTGTTCCACTAAATCAGAAAAAGTTTTTAAAACTTTCAACATCAGGAGTTATTTCTTGATTAATAAATTTTTTTTTTTCAATTAAATTTTTTATTTATTGCATTTTTTTATATTTTTGTTTTTTTCTCTTTGGTTTTTAAATTCTTTACAAAATAGCTCCAAAGACACAGGTATAATGCAACATCTTTATGTTTCTTCTCTTGTCTTTACATATTTTTTACACTTTTAGCACTCTTTTACTTGCTAAAATAGCTAATTTGCTAAAATTTATACAATGATCTGACAAGTCATATTTTTTCATATATATATTTAGTATATATACTATTTTCACCATGTACCAACTATAATATTTGGCCTTTATAATATTTGAATTTTATGAATATATTATTATTGTTATTACTATATCATTCTCTCCACAAAGAATAGTAAGTTTTTCTCTGCCCTTAAACAAATGATGGTAAAACAATATTAACACTAAATGGTCTATAGTATTCTGCTATTGTAAAGCCACAGTCACTCATTACAGTTTTACCTTGATTAACGTAATAAACATAAATCCTTTTCCAGGTGCATTTCCTACTAAAACTTTAACTATTGTATTTTTATTATCTAATTACATAATTTTGTGAATAAATAATTAAGATAGTTTATTAACTTTGTGGTTTTCTGGATGTATCTGACACTGAAAATTTATTTCATGAGTGCAATATTGTCCTAAAAACTTTTATTTGTGTAAAAAGTTTTATTTGTGTACCAAATGGGGTTTTATGGACCATTTCTTGTAAGAAATGCTTTTGACATAATCAACTAGATTTGTTGTCTTTATCTTTATTTTCTTGTCTTTTTATTAAGTTACACCAAATATTTCTTTCTACAGTTAGAAATTTGAAAAATATAATATTTGTTGGAACTCTAATTCCATTTACATTATCTATCATAGCTATTTGAAAAACATTTAGAAAAAGCACATTGCAACCCATACAATATCGCCATTTTTAAACATCGTCGATTTGTTTTGATTGTTACAAACACTGCCTCGTTTTCACGGAATGCTTTATAAAAAGGTCTATCCCGGGATATTTTTGAAATAATCCCGGGAATTCGGGGTTAAAAAATTAGACAGGATCCCGTAATTTCGGAATCCCTGGATCCGGGATTGCAAACCTTAATTCAATAGGATCGGAAATCACTTTAAAGCTAAAAAAAAATACTTTGTTTAATAAATAAAAATATATTAGTTTTTGTAGAGCAGCTTAACAAATAAAATAGCCTTTGTTCGTCAGTCATTGCAAAAGATCATCCTCACTTTTTCAATATAAGTACATAGTGAAAAAAGCATTCAAAAACTTCTCGTGAAAGACCCTAAGTGCGCTGAATAAACTACAGCGGATTCGATCTCAGTACAAATAATTCCGACGTTGGTGTAAAAAGATTTAGATCAGCTTTAAACAACTCAATGGAAAAAATAGCTGTAGCAGCAAATATAAAGCAAAACCTTTACAACTCCTGTAAAAATAAACAGATTTTTCCATGATTTCAAATATTGTTAATCAAGACAAAGAAATAAAAAACCAAATTCTAAATGTTTTTAGCTGAAAAAAATCGAATTACTTGGTATGCCATGTTCCTTAAACTTAAGAACTTACATCAGATTTATCAGAAAAACACTTTTCCAAAACTCTATGAGTTTAAATTAATTTCGAAGCTCACGCTATTATTCATCACATTAAGGAGTTTGATGAAAAAAAAGAAACTGGCTGGGGAGGTTTCAGTAAGTAAACCAGTAAATCATTACACTATAAATTCAAGTTCATCTGGAAATAATATAAAAGGCAACCTCCTTTTTCTAAACATGACACATTTAAGTTTTGTTATTGATCTTAACAGCAAATACATTTGAAATTTGAGTCATAGAATGTTTTTGAGTGTATGATTACTTTTTTTCCTCAGAATGTCTATTTACAGTCTCATGTTTGAACTAGTTTAAACAACTTTATTATTTAGTGGGTAAATTTACAAATAAATGATCATCTTTTTGAATAAAATTATGTGTTAGAGAATGCTATAGAATGAAATTTTATTCACTATTTTATTTGTTTTTTTAATATCATTAAAGTATATTTAGCTTGTTTTTTTAAATCTTATTTTGAAACTAACAGATGTTGGTTTGTGGTTCTTTTAACTTTTATGACTTTAAAAAGTTTTTTATGACGTTTGGCAATAATAACAGATTTCAAAAATAAAAGTTTCAATAAAATTTATTGTGTTTATGGAATTATTTAACTTCTTGTGAAAAATAAAAATAAATAAAAAAAGATGATGATTTTTGTTTGTGACTATAAAAGTACAATGAAAGACTTTTGATTTGTTATTTCAGACAGACTAATCTTTATAAACTGATTTTTACAAGTGAAAACTTTATATAACTAGTTTTTGGTTAAAAATTTAGTAATTAAATTGAAATATAAGAATAAATATGTAAGTAAAAATAAACTCATAAAATCATAAAAATATAGTGCATTTAAATCTGAGTAAATAAGTTTTTTTATTGGTGAACATGTTACAAGAACTTTTTGAGTAGTTGTTAAAAACCATTAAAAGTTTTCATTTAAAAAACATTGATATTTGCAACTTGAGTGTTTGCATCAAAATGTTTTTCTTTATTTTTTATTTGTTCTTCTTGACAAGATTTTCTTTAGGTTGCGGGGTATTTGCATTAAAATGTTCTTCCTGATTTTCTGAGTAATCATTATTGACTCCATTCATTAGGCTTTCAATTTCGTATTTCATTCTTTTAAAATAAATACTTTTTTCGTCTTGGAATATAAAATGCGAGCCGCTCGTAAAATGGCTTTCTTTTCGAAATTCATCAATTTTTAATTTTTCTAATTTTTTTATACTTTTTTCCACTGACTGATTAAATTCTTGAAGCATTTTTGCAATGTTAGTTTTTTTAGCGAGGCTTTTTCCTTCAGTGATTATGGATAACCAAATTAAATCAAAAAACAGTATGATAATGTTCATTTTCATTTTCTAAAAAAAGATTATAATTATATATATACATTATATATATCATTTTAATATTGGATTTTAAATTATATATATCATTTTAATATTGGATCTAACATATTTTTGATAATAATCTATAATATTATTTGTAGCTATTATTAATATAACGATATATTGTTATCTTGTTACAATAGAACGGCAACTCTGTTTCTTTTTGACATATCACAGCTTGTGGCTAATGATTTTAATAAACAGGATGCTTTTATTACCCCTTATATCTTATATAAAAGTAAAGGACCTCGAAAAAATGATGGAAATTTTTTTCCAAAAAATTCGAGAAAAACCTAAAGCGTTTGTTGCTAAGCAGTTTATAGAATGGGGTTTACCCAGATCAACTGCTTACAATAAAATCGTAAAATTGGAGAATGGATCTCAAAAAAGAAAATTGGTGGAATTGCTCTGGTAGCTACTAAAGAAAATATTCCAAAAATTGCTGCATTTTTTGAGAATAAGTCAGTGTGTTCCCAAAAGAAAGTTGCACAAGTTTTTAACTGTAGTCAACCTCGAATTTCCCAAGTATTAAAAATAATGACTAACATTCGAACTTTCGAAAAAAACAAATAGTCCAGATCGTAGCCATCAGCAGAAAAAAGCTATGCGTCCTAAATGTCATAAATTGTTTGAAAATTATAAAAACTCAGATTTTGTTATGGATGATGAAAGCTACCTTAAACAATAGCACATTAGCTGGTAATATTAGGTTTTTATGCCGTTGATCCTTCTCAATGTTCTGACGATTAAAAATTTGTGTAAAAAGTACGAGAACAAGCTCTTAGTTTCTTGTTGCATCAGTTTCCATGGAATGAGCCCTCTTTATATTCATCACAGTAAGCAGGCAATCAACCAGTATACTTATAAAGAGATACTAGAAAAAGCTTTATTTCCTCTAGTAACAGAATATTATAAAAAAGACTATGAGTTTATCTTCTGGCTTTATCTAGCTCGATCACATTATGCAAAGTCGGTTATCGACTTTTTAAAATTTAAAAAAATCAAAGTTATACCCAAAGATATAAACCCAGCTAATGTTCCAGAAGCAAGACCAATTGAAAACTTTTGGGGTGATTTTAAAGGGCTAGTAATTGATAATAATTGGAGAGCTGAGAATTTGGAAGAGCCTAATGCAAGAATTAGATATTGCTATTCAAAGATGAATAAAGAAATTTTCCTTACTCAAATAAAATATATTTCTAAAAAATCTTATAATATTGCTAAATACGGTATTTGAAATAACTATTTTAATATATTTATAAACTACATATACTAACATATTAACAGTTGAAAATTTAAATAATAAAACTTATTTGTTGTTAAAATAATAATTTTAAAATTTGTCTAAAATTTTATTTATAAGGTGTTACATTGGATCAACATTGGATTTACATCGTAAAAACAATCAACATTTTGCGATGTTTTTACATACATTGGACCAATGTAATTTTGCCAGATGTTTTTAGTTCCGTCGGTAATAATTTTGTTATTAACTATATGACATTGGATCAACGTTGGTATTGCATTGGAAAAAAGAGCCGACGTTTTTACATGCGTTGGCCAAATGTAAGTGTGCTAGCTGGGACACACGCATATATATATATATATATATATATATATATATATATATATATATATATATATATATATATATATATATATATATATACATATATATATATATATATATATGCATATATATATATATATATATATATATATATATATATATATATATATATATATAAAGAAAGTTTTTTTTAATTAGTGGTGATTTTGTTTTTGTTTTATTAAAAAACATTATTAAAACATGCGTAAGTGTTGCTACAAGGGAGTGTTGCTACATCGACTATCTTATAGCCTGACTCGCAACGGAGTGCTGCTACATCAACTGACAAATAGCCTGACTCGCAAAGGAGTGCCGCTACATCGACTGATAAATAGCTTGACACGCAAGAGAGTGCTGCTACATCGGCTGAGGGTTTGGTTTGGGCAGGCAGTCTATCAAAAAAAATAAAAAATTTCTGGTCAGGTTTATTAACGCGCCTTTAAAACAACAGTTTATGGGAAAAACTTTGTGACTACCATGCAAAACTATATATATATATATATATATATATATATATATATATATATATATATATATATATATATATATATATATATATATATATATATATATATATATATATATATATATATATATATATATATATATATATATATATATATATATATATATATATATATATATATATATATATATATATATATATATATATATATATATGTATGTAGCAGATTTTTTCAGTTGGGTAAAATTAACCGTTTTCATTTGTGTTACTTATGGAATACTTTAACAATTAGTATTGTTTATAAATATTTTAGATTAGATCCATATATAAGAGGTGGAATAAATTTTATTTATGACTTTCTTAGTTTTTTTCAAAAGTCTTTAGAATCTAACTTTGAGTTAAAATGTTTTGAGATTTGTATTTTGAGAATAATACCCGCAGTGTCTTTTGGAACTAATTTCTAGTAATATAACGAGATTGTTATCAAGAAAGATGTTTGTGTTAAGAAGTTAAAAAAAATTTCATGACTATTTTAGTGAGAAAAAATAAAATGAAAAAAATATTTATTACGGAATAAAAGTTTCTGTGGATGCCTGAAACCAGAAAATTATAATTATGTCGCAATCCAGGACTAAAGATATCAACCCTAAGATATTACTAAGAAAATCACAAAATGAATGCCAGTCAGCTTTAAATTTATAGTAAAAACCTTGGTGCAGAGTGAGACTAAATATTCAACCAGCAAGTAGAAAACAAAATCTCCTATGTCTGCCAGATTTCAGAAACTCAAATCAAGTAAAGAATGATTGGGGTTATCGAGAAAAAGATTTATAAAGTTAAATAACTAAGTAAAAAACTAAATAAAATAAGTTACTTGAACTATAGAGTTAAAAAGATCATTGGTACAAGAGAAAAACCATTTAGCGTGAAGAGCAACCAAGTTACCAATTACAACAATATTAACTTAAAAAGATGTGTCATTTTTAAGATTGTAAAAAAACTACTTTTGTCTTTGAGATTTTTTTTGGCTTGTACTTTGTTTTCTAAATAAATTGTTAAAATTTTTTTAACAATTTATTTAGAAAACAAAGTACAAGCCAAACATTAACATATTTTATTGACTTTCTAATAAAGCCAGTCTTTATTTTGTTAACGATCTTACATGAGAAATGCAAAGGTATCTGGTCTTTGCATTTGTAAACAAGTTGATAAGCATTCAGTAGTCTGATTTATTGTGAAAAATATATTAAACTTATATTTTACAATAAATCATCTATATTATATTATTTAAAATATAGTTTTTAATTAAAGCTGAAAACTAATCACTTTCTGTTTATTATTAATTTTTAACAGTCTCAAAACGTATTTTACGTTCAATCGTTAAGGCGTTAGAATTCATACAAACATTTATTCAAATATTTGGTTAATCAACCGTCAACTTTATAAAATTAAAGATGCCTAAGGTACCACTTTGGCAACCACATATTATGATTCAGTATCAATTAACAAATATTAGTTGATTCCTATTTCAATTTTTACATAACACAACGACTGGGCAATATTAATTATAATACTGGGCTACAATTAATAGTATTATAAAAGTGAATTACAATAGAATACATACTGGTATTGTATTAGAAAATTAAAATCTTTTTTCTTATATTGTTATATTAATAGAAAGATCAAATACAATACAATATTTATTATCAAATACAATACAATATTTATTAATATTGCATTGTAATATTAAAATAATTGCATAACAAAGATGTTGTTATTATTCTTTAAAAGTTAATGTAATAACTAAAGTTATTGTTTCTAGTATTGTTTTTATTACAATTACAATAGTCTGATCCCTAGCTGCAACAACCCATGAGTAGAGTTAAAAAGTTCTTCTACTCTTCATCATAAGGTGGGAAATAAAAAAACATATTTTTACGTCTACGACAACCTACTAGTTTTTTTTTTTTCACAGCAATCATTATTGTATATTTCAAAAACAAATAATATTTACATGTCGCTTGTTCATACAAATTCCACCACACATATTTACAATATCTAATCAGCGTTAGCAATGCTGTTTTACGCAAGCGCGTTTAAATAATTTGAAAAAAATGACAGCAAGCTAAAATAATTTAAAATTTCGTGATTTTCAATAAAAAGTGTTGGCTTTTAACCTATGCATTTAAAAAATATACGCAAGCCCGTCGCGCCACAGGGCTACAAGGGACTTGTCGTTGTCGTTAAAGATATATATTTATATACTATAATAATATTATGTAGTTGTAAGGAAACTCACAGAAAGCTAAATGCAGTTTTTTCCATCAAAAACTTTTAAAGTACAATATAAACTAAAAATTTTAAAAGTACAATTATAAACACACATAAATATTTTGAGGTTTTGCTTTAGTAAAATGTAGTAACTAACTATATTTACTATTTTTTTAATGTTATTTTTTTTTTCTTTTTCTTTACTTATTTTTATAATTTTTATAATTTTAAATTATTCTTATTACCTTTTAATATATTAATTGTTCTTTTACATTTAATATATATATATATATATATATATATATATATATATATATATATATATATATATATATATATATATATATATATATATATATATATATATATAAGTTTAATATTTTGAGATATTATTTTGTTGTATAAACTTTTTGCAATATATAACTTTTTGCAAAATAGCATTAATAAAATGAGTTCTTCGTCATTTCCATTAAACATGCAACTGGATGAGAACACAGTTGCATAACATTATAGCCAGCTCTTGATATTTTTGCGTTATGTACAAAAAAGAGTTTTTGTTTTGTAACTCACTTTGTATTGCTCTAAATACTGCTGTATAATACAAAAGTTAGCTGTTTATCAAAAAAGCAAGTTTTAAAGCGTTTGTTTGAGTTACGTGTTGAAGTATTAATATTTATGAGAGATAAAAAAAGCTTAGCCGACATTTTAAGTTATTTAAATGATATATACCTGTCTATTCAGGGTTGTGACGTCTCTATTGAGAACACTAACGAAAAACTAAAACTTTTTTTTTGTCAAGCAGCTACTTTGAAAAATTAAAGTCGATGCAGGTGTTACCGCAAATTTTTTTATATTGGGAGAACTGCTGTTACACTGTGTAGGTAATAACACTGTTACACCGTGTAGATAATAACACTGTTGCATTGTGTGGGTAATAACACTGTTACACTGTGTAGGTAATAACACTGTTATACTGTGTAGGTAATAACACTCTTACACTGTGTAGGTAATAACACTGTTACACTGTGTAGGTAATAACATTGTTATACTGTATAGATAATAACACTGTTACACTGTGTAGGTAATAACGCTGTTACACTGTGTAGGTAATACCGCAAATAAATTATGAGTATATAGGTAATACCATTAATAAATTAGATAAAATAAACAAACAAAAAAAAAAAAAAGAAAAGAAAAAAAAAAAAAAAAGAAAGAAAAAGAAAGAACTAAAAAGTTGGAATAAAGCATTGCGAATAATGAAAATGATTTATGTCAATAGTTATTTAATATAGTTATTGAACTTCCAGGGTCATTGATTTTAAGATTAACTTAAACTAATTACATTGTTTTTTAGTTGATGTAGTGTTTTACATAAATTTATTTTACTGATCTACTTTAAAAGAAACAAGATAAATCAAAATTTGTGTGCAATAAACACCGCTTTAATTTATTTTTAAATCGATCAAGCAAAATATTCTTTTTCGCAACAATAAATGAAAAACTTTTCACAAAAAAAAGGCTCGCGATTCTCAATTGAATATGAACTCAGTAAGGAATAAGATTTTGGTAGAACAAAGTTGTTCTTGGAAAATCTAGTAGAATACTTATGATGTATTTCTTCAAAATAAGTTTTAAATTTTTTTGGAGACATTTTGTTTTTTATATGAGCTGTAAATATTTTTATAGTGTACATTTTGTTTTTTATATGAACTGTAAAACAAGATGAATGTTAAGTTTAAGAATATTTAAAGCGCCAAGTCTACGTGAAAGAGGTTCACAAGGGCAGCTTTAACAGCTCCAAACACAATTTTAACTGCATGTTTTTGCTTTCTGCACAGTTTTCTTAACTTATTGTGCTTATTACTTGCCCATACTAAGATAGACTGAAAATATGAAATAAGGTTGGTTCAATTATATTAAAGACTCTTTTTAACATATTGACACTAACTTCATCTAGTCTTGCCCTTTTGCAACTTTTAGTAAGGACTAATTAATTTAATTAAGACTTAGTAAAACAGATCGCAACTCAATTACATCCAGCTTAGATTCTTTCATTTTTTTTATTAGAGGTTGTAAGATAGGAACCAAATGTTAGTGAAGTTGGAACAATATTTCGTGCCAAATTAGAGCTAACATCACCAAAAAAGTGATAGCTAACATCCCCAAAAAAGTGATAGCGAATAGCTGAAAAATCTTATTTTTTAGCTATTCGCACTTTATCATAAATTATATTACCATCAATTGAAAGTTTTTTTGGGTTAATTTTGCATTCGTTTTGACCAATTAATTTTTTTTATTGCATTCCATATTTGATGTGTTTTACTTTTAGATTTTTCTATTAATTCAGAATAATATTATTTTTGTGTGTAATTTTTGATATTTTCAAAAATATTTTTAAAAATTTTATATTTAATATCATTTGAATTTTCAATTTGAAGATTTAAAATAGTATTTCGGGTTGAAATTCTTGCACAAAAATTTCAAAATGTCCATAATAATTCTGTTTGCTATTTCGTACTTTTGTGAGTCAGGGTTTGTTAGCTTTAATGTCAATAAAATCTGAAAATTGTAAGCGGTATATATATATATATATATATATATATATATATATATATATATATATATATATATATATATATATATATATATATATATATATATATATATATATATATATATATATATATATATATATATATATATATATAAATATATATATATGCATATGTATATATATATATATAAATATATGCATCGAATAAAAAGTGAAATAAAATAAATCTACTTAAATATACTACATTTAATTAAACAATAATTATTGTTTAAACTGATGATGGTTAAATAGAGTAAAATAAAATTAATAAGTTTTTATGTATGATTTAACCGTCTTAACATCTAAACATAATAAAAGAAACTATAGTAAATTTCAGTATTAACTGTTGCATTCAAATCTATAATTCAAATTGTTATAGATATTGCCATCAACATTCAATTTATTAGATTGAATAATGATTTTTTTAAAACGAATCCTTGCAATTTCTTCTTAAAAAAAAATAATAAAAAAAAAAAAAAAATAAGAACCATAAAAAACAAATCACATCTCTACCTACCCAAGACAATTAGCTAAGCAGTGTGAGGACTTCCTTTAAACTTAAATGGAATAGATTTCAAAACCTAAAAGAGAACACTTAACAACGAGAGCAACTCTGTTAAAAAATTATTTTCATATGGTAATGTAATGTCTCTAGATTAAAAAAAAGATTTCATTTGAGTGACAAAACTTAATATCTGCCGGCTCTGTGGCCATAAGCGTATTTTAGATATCGTCTCTTTATATCAAAAAATATTGGCAAATAGGGGAATAACATTTATTCACCTATTTGCACCTGTTTACATATTTTTTTAGTTCGAATATATAACAATTTTTAGATCAAGTAAATAAATTTTCATAGAGAAATAATTATCGATTTTTTAAAAATCAGTAATGAAGATAAAAATATAAATACAAAAATTATTTAGATATATTCAAAAAAATTTCTTGTGAAGACACCCATATTCTCTCTCTTTTTTTTTTCAATATAACAACACCAATCACCATAACATTATCACCAAAAATATAATAACTTTAAAAAAAACATAAGAAAAATAAATAATCATTTAGACTTTTATTTAAAGTATTAAATACTTGAGATGTGAGTTTTTTTTGTTTTAGAAACTAAAATGTTGTTTTAGAAACTAAAATATTGTTTTAGAAACTAAAATTTGTTTTAGAAACTAAACTTTTCTTGTTTTAGAAACGAAAATAAATATAATTTTTTTTTTGGTTGTATTTTTAGTTTATATAACATATTGTTTAATCATTTTTTTTTTATAAGTACATTAATTGTTCATTAAATAATTTCATCAATTATACTTTAATTACTTTCATATTTGATTAAATTATCTTCATATTATATTAAAATCAAAGAAAAGTATTATGTTAAGAAAATATTTTTTGATAAAATACAGTTACAATTTAAGTAATAAGGAGTTGAATCTTTTTGTTTATGTAGGAATGCTTTTTGAGATAAGCACTACTTCAAGTTTTTCCTTCATCCATTATTGACATCCATAAACATGATTTATACTTTTTTCAAATTAAGAATAAGGAAATAATGAATTTCGAATTTAAAAAATATTGCATAGATTTCATTTACAATTTAGCAAAGTTTTAATTTTTTTTTTATTTATAACTTTATTTGAACTTTATCCGGTTTGTAATCCTCAGTAATCTTTTTGTAAATGCGAATAAATTTTCTTTGTCAAGATGTTTTTCAGAAAGTAAAAGTAATATTGGTTAACCGTGTTAAAAATATTACACAAGTGTATTTTTTTATTTTTTTTACGGTATTTTTGTAATAAACATTTTGCTTTTATGATAGCTGTTTTAAAACAATACTATCGTTATGTAAACTTGTTGAATAAATGCTTTAATATTCATTATAAATTACTTCAATAGTATATCCAATTAGTAAATATATTGTAAATATATTTCACTTGTAACTTCATTATGAAAATTATTTAGAATATACCAATTTAAAGATTTAACAAGCATAACTTTAGCAGATTAACTAAAGTATTTGTAATAACAAACATTTATCATAATAAAGTAGACTACACACTAAATACCGAAAGAAAACATAAATATAGTAGTTTGAGGATAATAAATATCTTGTTGTTGTTGTTATTGTTGTTGTTGCTGTTGTTGTTGTTGTTGTTATTGTTGTTGTTGTTGTTGTTGTTGTTGCTGTTGTTGTTGTTGTTGTTGTTGTTGCTGTTGTTGTTGTTGTTGTTGTTGTTGTTAGTTATTTTTATCAAATTTTGTATTCAAAACTTGAAAACAAAAAAGTTTGGACAACAAACCTTAGAAACTGACTTGCCATTTTAAAAATTAAAAGAAACTATAGTTTAAAAACTTTATTTTTTATTCTTTTTATTTTTTTTTTTTGAAAATGTCCTACGGTCTTATTGCTCTCCCACAGTGCTCACGGAGCACCGCGGGAGAGCATTTAACTAGAAGTTCACGCCTCTATCCTTACCAACTTCCTTCCTTACTTTCTTCATAGATTTTAATATACTTAAATTAATTAAATAAAATTTAACGTAAAATCAACAAGAAATCTTAAAGAAAAAAAGTACAATATTTTTTAGAAAAATTGATATATAAGACTTTAAAAATCATTAAATACAATAAAAATCCGTAAAATCCCCAAAAAATTACAAAAAAAAAACAAACAAAAAAAAAAGACATTAAATTAATAACAATTTTTGGGGCTAAAAAATAATCAAGAAAACAAAAAAAAGCAAAAATAAAACTTTTTTTGGCAACTCTAATTATCGGATTTAATAATTTTGTGTAGCAGCTAAAATTATAAACTATTTTAAATATAAAACTGATTAGAAATTTTTTAATGTGCAAATGCCAATATTTATTTATTTTTAAGTTTTGCAGCATTTAAAAACATTCTAAACTTAAAGTTAATTACTCCAAAATATAACAATTTACATCAGTTAATACAGCTTTTCTACAAAAACAATAAAAGTAATAAAAAATCTTCTCAAATAAATCTTTTAGTTATTCTCTGTAAAAAAAATTTCAACAACCTCTAGATTCCAAGCATGTAAAGAGCACAAGTCCAGTTGTCAAATACTAATTGAGTCAAACTGATGTTCCAAACTACTAAATACAAGTCTTTAAAGGAATAAATTTTTTTGGCAAAAATATGTTTCAGAATTAAACCAAAACATGTCTTCACCACAGATAAAAACTTTCAAAGGGCAACAATGATTCTACAGAATTGAAAAGCAGACTCAGACTTAGCCATCATTTAAAATAGATCTAAGATTGCTGAGATGTTTGTGACAGGCATTTCCTGTAAAATTCCCATAATTATATGCTTCTTGTTAAATGTGGAAAGGTCAGGGACACTTAAAAGATTTGAGCAATAGTTCTGTCAAAACTTTGAACCTTTAACTACACCAAGTAAAATATGAAGTTTCATGGATGAAAAAAGCTCCTAGATGAATTTGTTTTTAGATTTAGTCAACAATAGCTAAAAGATCAAATTTCCAAAAAAACTTTATTTTGATTTTACTTTTAGATATCACTTTGTTTAAATTGATTAGGAACAAGATATGGCGACAAAGTTTCAGGTAGTCCTTCTGAATAAGCCACAAACATTTGGCACTATCTTTGGCAATCTTCAGAGTTTTTTTATACGCTCGTGACTTCCACAATAAGAATCCAGCTCAATGATGTCAAACAAAAAAACTTTCAGAAACTCTCCACCACCCTCAATTCCTAACTTGACTAAGGAGAAGGAGTTAGTTTAGGTATAGCTTTGGACTATGCCAAAATTAAAAAAAACAAACAAATTTATCAAAGAAGTTAAATATATTATTTGATTGGAAATACTTTTGCGCGTTACTATCAAATAATTTATTGACGAATGAATTTAAATAGCTTTTCTTCAAACGTTTTTATGATTTTTGAAAGCTTTTCTAATTTTTAAATTTTTCATTGTCTTAATTTACAGTTATAATACAAAATTGTTAATTTTTATCTATGATGTCGAAGCGTCTCATATCTATGTGAATTTAGTATAATATAATATCGCCTAATTATTCTACATTAGCGTTTGCTTTTATTTTGTGTTAAATATGTTTATATATATATATATATATATATATATATATATATATATATATATATATATATATATATATATATATATATATATTTTATATATATATATATGTATATATATATATATATATATATATATATATATATATATATATATATATATATATATATATATATATATATATATATATATATATATATGTATATATATATATATATGTATATATATATATATATATATATATATATATATATATATATATATATATGTATATATATATATATATGTATATATATATATATATATATATATATATATATATATATATTATATATATATATATATATATATATATATATATATATATATATGTATATATAGATTTATTTATGTATGCATGTATGTATGAATGTTTGGCTTCAATCGGGAGTTAAATCATGAAACTAATTATAAAGTTATATAACTATAAAATTTTCAAAAAAAAAAGAAGAAAAATATGTCTATAGAGCAACTTTTAATATAATAGAAAACAAAAACGATAAAAAACTGCTGATTAACTTGTTACCAATGTCTTTAAAACACCGATAGTGTTTCCATAAAATGAGCTTTTTTACATGTGCGTTCCTTGCTGATTTTAGTAAAATAAATAAATTTTTTTTTAGTCTAAGATTTAGTAAAACAACTAATCTTTAGATTTCAAAAAATCTGATAATTTTCATTCTACTTTTAATATAAAAAGTAGGTCATAATTAAAACACAATAAAACGGTACCTAAAGATAAAGAAAAAACTACATTTTTTCTACTGAATTTTTATTATTTTACGTCAACTTTAGTATAAATGGATTATTATTATATTTTATTACTAAGTTCTATTATTTAGGAATTATGAAAACGCTGCTTATTATTAAAATGAATTAAATTATGTAAATGCAAATGTTAACATACTATCTCGCACGCGTTAAATTCAAATGTATTAGTACTATTTTGTTAAAAAACTAATGCAAACGTTATACAAATTAGTTTACTATTGAACTCTTAAGCATATTAACTTTGGAATATTTTATAGAAGTTTAGTAATATAAGGTTTTTAAAACGTTACTTATACTCTCGCGGAAAGTGTTGAGTTTTCCTCCACACCGGTGTGTTGCTTTCACTTTTAGACATTCCGCGATTGTGTACTAAAAATAGCTATGCACAAGAGAAAGTCATACACAAACAGTCTTGCACATTTTAAAGATAAGAGATAAGGGTTGTTAGGCACCTATAATTTTTTCTACAAACATTTATTTCTAATGCTAACTAGTTTTATATTTTTGACTGAAAAATTTAAAGGTCATAAGCATAACATAAAAGCCTAATTTTATATGAATTGACGTTTATGTAAATTAGTAAAAAACTCCATAAAAATGACCACAGAACTTTTTGAGGAGATAAATAAACAGGAAGTGAACCTCTTATCTTTCAAAGTCGGAAATTAAGCTGCGATTATATGGATAATAAAAACAAATGAAGTGATCTTAACTTTTTAATTTAGCATATATTTTTTGGTTAAATAAAAGTTCTATTTTTGTTGCTAAGACTATAGTATTTATTATATTAATCAACAAAAAGTACTCTTTATTTAATTTTCAAAAAACTATAAAATTTTTTTTTTAAATTAGTTCAGAAATTAGGCTTGGAAAAAAAAAAAAAAATT